TTATAAAAATTATTAATATTTATTTATTATTAAATTTATTATACTCCTTATCTCAAATAATATCACATTTAAATAGTACATTGTTCCTAGAGACAAATTTACTATTATCTTGATAAGAAAATAATTGATGCTTATCAAATTTCCTTTCATGTACAAATTAAAGATTATTAATTTTGAACAAATAAGAAAATAACAAATATTGTTGTAAATATAAATAGATATAAGCCATTATATATATATATTTTATTATATCATACTACTCGGTATTTCTCTCTCTTTTTTTATATCTTATCGATATACATTAAATTATATAATAATTTAATATTCAATTAATGTTACCATTATTATTTTTAATATAATAACTGTATTTTTATCTCTTTGTTATAAGTAGAGTGGCAAAATGAATTGGATCTGTCGGGTTGGCCCGTTTGACCCGCTATTTTTAGCGGGTTGAGCTGAGGTTTTCGGTTTGGTATCTTAAATTGACCCGTTATGTCAAATCCGTTTAAAAAAGCGGGTCGAGGCGGGGCGGAGCGGATTTTTCCCGCAGATTTTTTATTAAAACTTTTATTATTTTTATTAAGAATTAAAACAATTTTAATTATAAAAATAACACTTATCTCTTAGGATTGTAATATAAATTATTATACAGCCAAATTGAATTATAATTGTAACGTAGTTTCTATAACTTTCTAATATATGCGTTGATTGAAAATGATTAAAATAAAAGAACAAATGTATGACATACATAATTATTAAATTTTCAATCTATTAGCTCAGATGTTTTCTTTATAAATAGATGTTGATGTTATGAAAATGAAGGGTTTGATTAGTGTATACATGTACAAAATTTAGGATTTAACTATTAAAAAATCGATAAATATAAGAGTCTATATAATGTAAATAGTGAGAAAATTCGGTGTTGATATTTTACGCATTACTATTTTATATACTGTGATGTTTTATGCAATGTTATTGTTATCATTGTTGGTTTTGTGTAAATTCTAAATTGAATTGTTTTAGTAGTTAGTTTTTAAATAGGATTAGGATGATATGTATTGTTTATTTATTTTGATATTTTTTATTGTGTTTGGGTTTATTTTGTTTTTTGGTTGTAATTGGTCTTTATTTATTAATTTTTTTTAATTGTTTGAACTTAAGACATCTTAAAGTTCTATTATGCGATGTTAAAAAAATTTCTTTATCGACCTCTTTAGTAATAATTAATTTTTTTCTAAATTACGTATTAAATCAAATTGTAAAATTAAAAAAATTAAAAATTGGCGGACCGTCCCGCCAACCTACCAACTCGTTAGTAAACGAGACGGACTTGATTTTTGAGCTCAGACTCCTATGTTGGTCCATCCCATCTCACCTCACATTTAGACGGACTTAAACGGGATGAGTCTAAATAGAACATGCCGTCCGCTTTACCACCTTCAATTATAAGTCATTCATATTTTAAATACATTATAATCATTATTATGATTTTTCAAATATTATTTTTCGTATTTTTATTTCTCTTTGTTATAATATATATTGATATTTCTGATCTAACATAATTATTATTATGATTTTCTAAATATTTTTTACTTTATTCTAATCTGGGCTGTATTTGTTTCTCTCTTTTTTTTCAATACATCAATTACAACACATAAATTCATTATAATCCATTGTTAATTAATTTTTATTTTAAATTTATTGAGGCTTTTGATTTTATTATATTAATTTATTTTAACAATTTTATTTCCCTACATTAATGATATCCATCTTACCTTTACATCTATAGTAAAACATTATTTATTGAACAATTTTTGGATGACTTTAATCTAAACATTAAATTTACATTAAATTATGACTTATTTTTTACATGTAAATAAACACTCAAGATAATTATTTTTTCTCATTAAATTGTCATTTCTAAAAACCATATCACAATATATATATATATATATATATATATATATATATATATATATATATATATATATATATATATATATATATATATATATATATATATATATATATATATATATATATATATATATATATATATATATATATATATATATATATATATATATATATATATATATATATATATATATATATATATATATATATATATATATATTTAAATAAACACTCAAGATAATTATTTTTTCTCATTAAATTGTGATTTCTAAAAATAATTTACAATTAATGATTTTAAACTATTTATTTAAAAATTACAATCATCATTTAAGACTATTTATTCAACTTTTTAATATGGTAGTCAATTTTAATTAATTCAGATTAAAATAATTATACTGATTATATTTAATTTTTAATTTTATTTTATGATTTAATATAACTTTAATAATAATTATTAACCATTTCAAACACTATTGTAAAAAATTCAAACAATTTTGAATCATAAGAATTGTATTCAAAATTAGAAGAAAAAAAGTCTCTTTTAAAATTTAAAACAAAATACCAAATACTTATGAAAAATATATTAGTGAAATACAAAATACTAAATTTAAAATTAAAATAAAATACAAATGTTTATAAAAACTGATATATGATATTTTGAAATCATACAAGAAAAAAAATAATTAACTTGAAAACATTACTTAAATGGAAATAATTTATAAATAATTTTATAAACCTTAAAATGTCAATTGTTTATAGAATTATTTTTATAAATGAGAATAAGTGATAAATATTTTTATAAATCGAAAAAATTTTATTATTGATATGATTATTTTTATAAACGAAAATAAATTAAATATTTTTATAAACGAGAAAAAATCAACTGTTAATATAATTAATTTTATAAATGATAATTCGTTTCAAATATTTTTATAAATTGACATACACATTCTTAAAACCTTTTATGAATAAGATAAAATCATACAATTATAATATATTATACTATATACTCATATATTTTAAAACATAATTTTAATGTATATTATGACCATATTCCTATCTCTAGTGAGATTAAACATTCCATCTCAAATCTTTATATTATTTATGTTTTTATCTTATTTTAAAAGAAGCATAGAGATATGTATATGATTTGACATATATCCATGCCGACAACTTCTCACACTCGCCACGTCTACTTATATTCTTATGCATAAAAAATTAAAATATTACAAGTGTACTAAGCATATTTGTTAAAAAAGGAGTTTATCTTTAAAATAGAAATTAGGTTTTTTACTTTTAAACAATGAGAATAATTTTTATATTGTAAATTCTTTTATACAATTAACCAATAAAAAATTAACAATTTGTCATATCATTGAAAAATTTTAAAATAAAAATAAGATATAGTTAAATACTATAGTATAAAACTATTTTATCATGTGATTACATCAGTTACTTACTCTTAAACAATATCCTTAAATACTTCTATTAACTAGTTTAACTTAAATTTGATGACAAAATTTGTACTTATAGTTCAGTTATTAAACAATGATATGGACATTAATTTCCCAAAAAAAATATAAATCATAAACAAATAAAATATACAAATTGAAAATAACGACGAATTTTATATTGATGCCTTGCTTTCATCGTCAATCAGTTTATGTTGAATTCCTTTTGAATTCCATCCGTTTCATTCTGCCTCTACCCCACACCCTCCCTAGATTTAAGGACAACAACACCGAATCATTTTCCGTTCTTCACACTTTCCGTTTCAGCATCTTATAGTACTAATGCTGAACTGAAAACAAATCCCGATCTGAAATTCGCTAGATCGATTTCAAGAGTGTGTTTTTGAGATGGGTTTTTTCAGTACTATTTTTGGGATTTTCGGTTTCGGTTTTGGGATTTCAATTGGTCTCACTGTTGGTTACATTCTCTTCATTTACTTTCAGTCTACCAAAGTTGAGGTTTGTATTGTTGTAGCATTAGCATTCGTCGTGATTCTTTATCTTGAAAGTTGGGATTTTTTATTTGTTGTATGGGTTGAACAGGATCCTGAAATTAAGCCACTGGTGGATCAAGATGCTGAGAGTTTGCAACGAATGCTACCTGAGATTCCTAATTGGATTAAAAATCCTGATTTTGATAGGGTAAATTAACTAGCACTATTCACCTATGATACATTACTTTCTTTAGGTTTTGGGTTTTTGAATTTAGGGTTTAGGTGATGGAATATTGGTTCCTGTTTGTGTTTGTGTTTTTTCTCTAGGTTGATTGGCTTAATAAGTTTATAGAACTTATGTGGCCTTATCTTGAAAAGGTATGTTGTTTTTATATGTTTATACAACTGTTCTCAATTTACATTTTTTTTGTTTTTCTTTGGTCTGTTTTTTGGAGTTATGTTTTTTTTGTTTTTGTTGTTTATTTTCATGTTTAGGCAATTTGCAAGACTGCTAAGAACATTGCGAAACCCATAATTGAAGAGCAGATTCCAAAATATAAAATTGATTCTGTTGAGTTTCAAACACTCACTCTAGGGTCCCTGCCCCCAACTTTTCAAGGTTTGTAGATACACATGCATTCTTGGATATGAACCTTTTTTTAATTGTATTTACAAGTACTTTAGATATTGTTGCTGTTTTTAAAATTGTGTTTGCTAAATTTACCCGAATCTTTTGTTGTGTGTAAAGGAATGGATATCTCTTTTTGTATATTCTCCGCTTATATATTGAGGTTTGAAACTGATTTATCATTTTGTTGTACTTTGGTTGACGTGACCGGACTAATATGATGACTATTCCTGTTATAAATTTGAAGAAACTTGATGCGTTATTGGAGGCATTTCCTCATAATACCCTCTTTTGGGTCTTGTTATGTGTGACACAATTGTTAAAAGTCATAACTCAAAGATTATTATTATTATTATTTTATGTCTTCATATATCTGCATACTATTTTATACACCCATGGGTTTATTGCTCTTATTCCTGCTTTGCTATTTTATACACCAAATTTGTTTATGTCTCGATGACTTATTTGTACTACTGTTGAATATTCTTAAGACTTTCTGTAATATAGGAATGAAAGTTTACGTGACTGATGAAAAGGAGTTGATTATGGAGCCTTCTATAAAATGGGCTGGAAATCCTAATGTTACCATTGCTGTAAAGGCATTTGGGTTGAAAGCTACCGTTCAGGTAAACTTTGTCTTGTGTTAGTAGAGAATGGATAAATTTGTTTGTTTTTATCATGCTAAATTTTTTGTCATTTGTCAGGTTGTCGATTTGCAAGTTTTTCTTTTGCCTCGCATTACTTTGAAGCCTTTGGTTCCCAGCTTTCCTTGCTTTGCCAACATCTATGTTTCTCTCATGGAAAAGGTTGGTGATTGTTGAGTTAAAAAAAATTAAAAGTTGATTTCCAAAATCTTTTGGGAGACTGAAGGAAAATTGTAGTAATTACCAATGACCAGTCATTGATCTGTTGTCAACGACATGATCACATGTAAATAGCTTTTAAATTTCTTCCCTTATTTATAGTTTAACAACCTTAAAGATATTTTTGTTTTTCTTTGTTTTGTTTTGGGGATGGGTTGCTTTTGTAGGGAATGATGTAAACAATTCATTATTGTAGGCATACTTTAGTTGATACTTACGAGTTACGAATCATGATGTCGATGTCTGAAGTTACTATATTCATTTTATTATAAGTTTAATGATGCTGGAGCAGCTGGACTTCTAACCTTTTCCCCTTTATAACTTGCTACTTGATTTTATTTTGAATGTTGAAGGAAACCTTGACACTTGTAATTATTTTACCTGTAATACAGGCTACACAACTAATATTTACTCTCTGTCTCGGTCTTTTTTGTATGTTTACTTGCAGCCACATGTTGACTTTGGCCTAAAACTTATGGGGGCTGATCTTATGTCTATTCCTGTTGCCTACGGGTTTGTTCAGGTATGCACGCTGTAACTTTTTATCTGTTTATTTGATCCCCCTCCTATCCTAATGTTTGAGGACTAGAATTGCTTAACTTCATTTTCCACTCCCCAAGTGGGATCCTGCTTAATAGAAAATGTCCTTGAAATGAACCATTGCTTGCTCAAGTGGATCTTATTTTGAAATGTGATATTATCAGCAGTCCATTGATTTTTGTATGCAATGTTTCTGAACAAAACATCATGCTTGAAGAAGGATGGGGGAATTATAATGAAATAATTTGTTGTGTCGAACTAGAGTTACTATTTGTGTGTGGCAGATAGAAATTTGTTTGCCAAAGAAATAGAACCAATGCATTCTTGATCAAATTGACATGTATGATATTAATGCAAACATGAAGAAATGAGAAATCTTGAGTTCTGAGATTGAATTGTTTGTCGGCTTGTCAGTTGTTATGTAATAATAGTTCATCGATAGTATAATTGTATGTGGTCTAGTGGTGTCAGTTGGATGTTGTTGCCCTTTTTGCCGGAAGTCATTCTTTTAGTTTTAGCAGGATGTTTTATCCTCCAGTATAATTGTAGCATTTAACATTTGATAACGGACGTCCGTAGCTAGCATTGGTTATTAAGGATTTATGGCTTTTAAACTAATTTTAAGTGTGTTTCTAGGAGCTTATCAAAGATCAGGTTGCAAACATGTATCTGTGGCCCAAAAACATGGAAGTTCAAATACTAGATCCGGCAAAGTATGTTTCTTCATTTTTCTAAATTAATATTCGTAATATAATGGTGTGTTCACTTCTTAACTCATTTATGCTTTTTCTCTTTTCTTGTGAATGTTATTGGGAATCTTAGAGCTTTGAGGAGGCCTGTTGGAATTTTACATGTAAAGGTTCTGCATGCCATGAAGTTAAAGAAGAAAGATCTTCTTGGTGCATCTGATCCTTACGTGAAACTAAAGTTTAATGACGATAAGATGCCATCAAAAAAGACTACTGTAAAGCACAAGAACTTAAATCCTGAATGGAATGAAGAATTTAATTTGGTAGTCAAAGATCCAGAGACCCAGGTTTTAGAGCTCAATGTTTATGACTGGGAGCAGGTAAACCTCTGGAGCTGAAAGTCTTATCTTATAATTTCTTCTTGTGATATCTGGACTGAATGTTGTTTTATATCTCTGCTTAGGTTGGGAAGCATGACAGGATGGGTATGAATGCGATCACTTTAAAAGAAGTTTCTCCTGAAGAGACTAAACGTTTTACTCTGGACCTTTTAAAGACATTGGATCCCAATGACCCTCAAAATGAGAAATCACGAGGACAGATTGTTGTGGAATTGACTTATAAACCCTTCAACGAAGAGGAGATGGGCAAGGGCTTTGATGAGACACAGACAATACCTAAAGCTCCTGAAGGCACTCCAGCTGGTGGAGGTCTTCTTGTAGTTATAGTTCATGAAGCTCAAGATGTTGAAGGGAAGTACCACACAAATCCACATGTACGTGTTATTTTCAGAGGGGAAGAAAAAAAGACTAAGGTACAAAATTCTAAGGAATACTTGAGTTCTAACTGTCATTTCTTTTCTTTTAGAATAAATTAAATAGAAGACTCCCTAACCTTTTCCCCTAAAATATTGGGGAAAACCTCTTTACAAGCCGAGGTTTTAACCTGCCTCATTAGTTTATGAAATTCTATCAACTCAACTAATCCACTGTAGGCCGTCACTAATATATGCTACTTAGGAGAGAGTGCTTATGTGTCTAAGCTCTAACTTGGTAAATCATGTAGCACAGTATCCCTGAAAGCTTTTAATCAAGTGAGTAGGATAAAATGGAGGAGTCTTGTATTTGTGATAGATTTTTTTTCAAGCATAAGGTTTTTTTTTTACGGCTATATGACTTTGTATAGAATCAAATGTTTGATCTAACTAGAATAGGTTCAAGACCAAAAAAAAGATTATGCATTGAATGCATTAGATAGAGTAAGGTAGACCTATTTTGGAAAGTATAGTAGTATCCTGTGTTAGATTAGATGATTTAGGCATCTGTGGAGAATATCCGCCAAGGCCCTGATAATGAGAACATATTGAATTGGCAGTAGGTGATTAAGAGCTTGACTTAGAAAAACTATAGGCCAAGTGGTTAAGAAGGATTTAGATTTAGATGGTTTGTTAAGACACGATTTATGATATTATAACACAGTTTTGATTCATGTGCCTAAGCTGACCTTGTGGGAAGAAACTTTAGTGGTAGTTATTGTTTATTAATACTTCAAAAAATAGACAAGAACAAGATATTGGAAGTGTCAAAGACAAATATGGTTAGAGTAGTAGTGGTAAAAGTGCATTATATTCATATTGAAATCTGCTTTTTGTGTGGAGTGCTAATGATGCATTGGTTACTATTACAGCGCATAAAAAAGAACAGGGATCCAAGATGGGAAGATGAGTTCCAGTTTCCGGTAGAGGAGCCTCCCACCAATGACAAACTACATGTAGAGGTTGTCAGCACTTCATCACGAAACCTGCTCCATCAGAAGGTATAATTCTTAACAACTCTACCGCTCTGAATTATATAATGTATTATTAATTAGTAATATGATTAGGCAATCTATCCAGAGTTGGTGTCAGCTGCAATAGTGAACGTTAGCTTAGGGAATCTCAAATTGTTGAAAATAGTTAACGTACTGGTGGAATATGCTCAAACATTTAATGATTCAAAATCCAAATACAAAAATGTAGGCTAAATGATTCCCAAGTTCTTTTAACCAAAAACAAATGTCATGAACAATTTAACCACTTTTGCTTCCCAGTAAAGCAGTTACCCACCCCATGCTAACAGTTACCCATATTAATAGAAGCTCAAGAGGCATGCTTTATGCAATGTTATATATTTAATAGGCTTATTGCTTTAAGAGAAAATTACACTCCCCTCCAATGTGAGAAGTTTGAATTACACCCCTTGTTATGTTAACATCAGCATTATTCTTCTTTAGAAAGTAAATTTGCTTTGCATTATAAATCACAATCCAATTTAAAATTATGTCTTAGTCTCCTAAGACTCACACTTGGGGGTAGCAATGAGCAGGGTACTACATTCTCCATACCCGCACTTTGAAAAAATCCCAGTACTTAAAGTCCATTCCTGCATGCAGAGTAATTAATCCCGGATAGCGGAGCGGAGCGGCCGATCCCCGGGAATGGGAAAAGTGGGAATAGCGTTATCCCGGATAGCGGGATAACTTTTTGTATACTAATAATTATATAATAATCTATAAAACATATGTCATGTAATACTAAACTGATTTCACAACACTCATAAAATATTTATAAAATCTAATGTCAAACAAAGAACAACGCTTAATCAAGATTCAAAACATAAAGGTTCAAATTCAAACTTAGTACTATCATATGAAAATTCAAGCAAACATAGAAATCATGTAGCATCATCAAAATATTTCTCCAATTCCTCATCTTCTTCATATTCCTCCAATTCTTCATCTTCAACTTCTTCAAAATACAAAGAAACGGTGTTTACAACAAAACAAAATAGAAGAAGTAGAAAGTAGAAAGAAAAGAAGTAGAATAAGTTGAAGTAGAATAAGTTGAAGAATTAGAAGAAATTACCTGAGATGGCAGAAGGAGATGGAGGAAGAACCGAAGAAGGAGAGTTGCAGGGAGATGGCGGCAGAATCGTAGAAGGAGAGTTGAGGAATTAGGGCACGATAAAACACAGCGAATGAGGGAGAAAGAAAACAAAAACTGTTTTAAAACAGAGGCATTTAAGTAATTTGACCCAAAAAATTGTTTAAAAAAAAAAAAGAGAACCGGAGCCGCTCCGCCCGGGAACTTCCCGCTACCCGCTACCCGGGAAAGCGGCTGAAGCGGCCGCTTTTTCATCTCCGCCACCGCACCCTAAATAGCGCGCGGGGGGGTGCCGCACCGCTACGGTGCGCCGCTATAGCGGCTGGAGCGCCCGCTATTGACAACTCTGCCTGCATGGACACAAATGTTTGTACCCGTACCACCCTATGGGTACCTAAATATCATATCATTTAAAGTTTTTAACAACATTAACATTTCAAAGATTTTATTGTTGAGTTACGATATAAACGGACACTTATATTAAAATACGTAATAATATGTATTTTTTTAAATTGATTGACATACATTTATATATAACAATATAAATTGATATATTATATATATTTTGCGGATATGGGGCGGAGTAGGAACCCTTACCTATATCCACTTATTTTAGTGGGTAATAACTCGTTTCCATGTCTGTATCCATTTTGCGAGTTTTTACCCTACCAGTTATGAATATATTTTGCGGGTACCCACTGAGTATGAGTTGGATTGCCATCACTACTCAATATCATTAATATATGATTTTGAACTCTTACTATCAACTATGGAATATTAAAAGTTAATACGTAAATAAAGATTTTGGACATTGTTTCAAAGCCGATAAATTGGGCATTTAAAACTTCATTTTATCTTTTGAAGTCTTAATATCAACAATAAAATGTTCAAAATTAGTTTACAAGTACATTGAAGATTGTAAAGAGAGAAAATATTGTACTCAAAGGATCATTTCAAGTTGTTTGCCACCATTAAAAAGCCCCTTTTATTTACAGTAAAAGAGGAGAGTATAATTTAAGCTTCTCTGATAAATGAGGACTCTAGTTTTTTACCCATTGCTTTAATTGAACGTATTTAAAGTAATCCTACATGTTCAAATTTTCTATGCTTTATGGAGTTATCAAACTACACACATGTTCAATTATTCTATGCTTTAGAGTATCCCTTTTTCTGAAGTGTACTTGGATTTACTTTTACTTGCTAAAGTACAAACTCATGTCAAATGTGCTTTGATACAAAAGCGCTCCAGAAATATGTCAAAATGTTTCAGTTTTTTACCTTTTCATGCTAGTTAATATATAATCGAGTTTCATTGTTCTCTGCTGCTCCCTTCCTCATTAGGAAACACTTGGTTACGTCAATATCAACCTCGGGGATGTCGTTTCTAACAAGAGAATCAATGAGAAATACCATCTTATAGATTCTAAGAATGGTCGCATCCAGGTAGAGTTGCAGTGGAGAACTTCATAAGCACTACCAGACAAAATTCTCCATAGATATGTACTTCTAATTCCACCCCACCTCCAAAACACTGTTAAAATTTAGTCTTCATGCAGTGTAAGGAAACAGTGAGAAGAGCTTTGTTGTATTCTTGTGAGTTAGACTGATTTTATTTGTCAATCATGTACATGCCTGTGATAAAAAAAAGATTTGTTTGAAATAGCAAAAGCACATATAAACCATCTATATGACACGATCACAGACGACCTATAAGGCTTTTGGTTTTGTGGATAAATAATCTGTTCTACCTTTTTTTTAACTGAAAATATCCTGTTCTACTTATATAATATTTAATTTAATTTTTTTTTTTACGTTTTTCTCTATTATATATATTTAATTTTTTTATTTTTTATTTTACGTTTTTCTCTATTATATACCATTACAATTCTTATTTTTATTCTCATATAACTTTCACAACTCGAAATAGTTATAGCTTAAATATCTTTGGCATGTGTCAACCACGATGAGGATAAACATTTCAATAATGCTAACATAGGTCTTGTATGTTCACACAAAATAAAAACATAAGAAGTCAAATCAGATTTTTTAAAGAATGTATAAATTTTATGTGTGCCTAAACACTATAGATTTTGTCTGGACCATGATTTGCTCTGCTATCAACACACACTTTAGAAAATTTCTCTTTCCATCCTCATGGAGTGGGGTGCATTTTTTAAAACATCAAAATATTCTTGGGAGATTTGTTGAGAGATGGCATTAAATATTTTTTTTGGAGATGTATTAAATATTTTTTCTAAATGCATTAAATATATTTTATTTGTCAAAATTTAGTTTGGAGATGTATTTGTGAATTTTTGAGGTTAATTCGCAGATACATATTTTAAATCACATTTATTCCTTAGTAAATCAAATAATCACTTCATTTCTTAAAAAAATAGTTCAGAGATGTATCTGAGAATTATTTGTGGAGTAAATTCAGAGATACATATCTGAAGTCTTGCTTGTATATTTCTTGTGCAGAATCAGTATAATGAGATTGCAGTTTTTTCAATCCTAAATAATTTTAATTCGATTAACATTGGCATTATTTGTTTAAAAAATTAATAAACACAAATATTATATAATAAAGTAATGAGTTAATTAATTAGAAAGACAATTATAATACAAAAATTATTCTCCAAGTATGAAAAAATATATAAAATACAATCAAATGCATAATCTATTGAATATGTCTAATTCTAACACTCTGGTTAGTCTTCTGCCTACGGTAACCCAAGGCATTCTGTGTCTTAGTAAGAATGGAATATGTTAGGGTATTCGCTGCATCGCCACTTCTCTCAAATAGTCCACACTCAATGCCATCTTCTGTCATTCACATAATATTCTGACAGATCGACAACACATTAATGACATGATCATCTTTGATCTGCTCATTCTCTAGGATCTCCACGTGAGCAGGCCTAGGTGGACGTCCATGAGCGTATGGTGTCATGTAAGGGCGTGCCGCATAATAGAACCAAATCATGTAATCCTCAGCATAATACCACTCAAATGTGGCTTTCTGACTCTGATACTCCTCAGGTACTATACGACTCAAAATTCGCTAGAATGTCATCAAGTTGTCCGCGGACAATGCTCTCAGGAGCATCCTGGATGAGGGACCTTGAAATGATCTACATGTACCTAAACTACTGCATGCACCGCTTTGGCAGATACATGCACATGATATTAGTCCCAGATGCCAGTCATCTGGAGTATAATGAAATGTGGTCGAATGAAATTCTTTTCCGGTGATTAGTGTATGGCATCCAGACGATGTCATTATACTGAGTTCGATTAATATACACTTGAAACAGTACCACAACACCATTCTCTCTATGCGGGAGATACATGCAAGAACATGGGTAATCCTTAGTATACGATGGGTCATGCCCAAACCTATGTATGCGGTGATAGGGGGCAAAGATCCATCCCTAAAAATGAATAAGAAAAAAAACTATTAGTAACAAGTGTAAAAAAAAGTTTTTTTAAAAATTAATAGTGAGATTTGGAAATTACCGTAAGCAGGGTGCATGAGCCTGTCCTTTGCTTTGTCCTCTAACGAGAATCTTCGCTCAACTTGGAGTACATGTATACCAAGCATGCGACCCCCCCCCCCCCCCCCCCCCCCCCAGTTCCACTCGTGAATGATTGTCAAGTTGATGAAATACTTGAGGTATGTCACATCCACGTATGTTTCACTTTTGTCCACAGACATAGACGTACCAACCAAGAAAAGAAAGTAACACCACAATGCACCCTCCCCGTGGTAGGAAACACGTGGATCATTGTCGTAGGTGGCCAATTCCAAGTTGTTGTTATACAAGTTCTCTAACCAAGAAAATTTGGCATGTGCATCTCTGGTGTTGTTACACTCCTCCATGGCTTGCACATGGTCAACTCCCAAATAAATCACCATCATCTCCACTTCCTCAGTCCTGGTGATCTTATAATGATCAAGCAACCTTCCTCTTATAAAAAGGTGTAGGAGGCAAGTGACATCATCTAATATAATCGTTATCTCGCCAATGTGGAAGTGGAAGATAACGTTTTACTATGCCATCTCTCAACAAATGTCACATGTATGCCATGGCTGATTATGTTGTACCAGGATGCAAGATCAGAGTGTCGAAGCATACTAAGGAACTACTCTTCTTGAGGTTGATCAAGCATGTGAATCTTTTTGGAATGGTTAATTAATTTCAAACACTCACGTTCCTGTTGAAAATAAAATATAACAATCTCAATCAAAATGAATTTAGTTAAAATATAAAAATGAAACTGTTAAGAAATATACCTCTTCGTCCCAGACATGCGGAACAACATGATCTCTAAAGTATATCAGTAATGACATATCAGTAGGCCCTCATATATAAGGCGTCTCCAAGTGGATGGAGACCAGTATCATTATGTGCAACTGAGGTATATTGTGTAGTTAGGGCCTCCTCCTCCTCCTGATGTGCACGAGCCTGGGATGACAACCCCTATGATAATTGACTCATAAAATTTGATGTTTCTCTGTCGTGAGGCATAGGGACGGCTCCCCCGTACCATTGGCCTACTGATGCTGAAGCGTCCTCTTGCGGTGAGTGGATGCGGTTAGGGTGGGACGACTGAGTCTCATCCTGTCATTGATTACAGCCATTATCCTTGAAAAAACATTAAAAAAATACATTAGTGCACCATGAAGGAAATAATTTAGAGATGTATCTCCAAACACCGGAAAGAATCCAATTCGGAGGTACATATTTGAAAAGCTTCATTTTTTATTTCAATGGCAAAAATATCTCTACACTTGTCCTAACCATCCAAAACTCATCTAAATCATCCAAATGATAAAAACACCTCCTTCACGTTATCTATTTCAAATGCTAATACTATCTAATGCATTAAAAGTAACTTATTTGACTTAATACATTAATCAAAACTCAAAATAAGCTATATGAGAAACTTACTCAAATGTGTTGATGAGTGTTGCAGCGGTAAAGCGGCAAGCAAAAAGTAAGTTATTAATTTACCGGGTGATATATGTTATATCATATTGTGTCCACGGAGATTGGTGTATTGAAGTTTTGTTCGATAAATCTCTCGTTAATGAGTTTTGATTGAATTGGTAAAACATAAAAACATAAAAGTAAATATTAACAGGAGAGAATTAATTCTCTAGAGAGAAGAAACTTATCAAGCATGCATATAATCTACTTCTCATAATCTTAAACTTATCGACCAGTTACACTCAACCTACAATATTCCCCAGAGTCATCTAGCATCGCTCACTCTCTAAGTTATTTCTAACCCAAAATAGAGAGAACTACTATATCATCTCGGTGATGATCCCTCAGCCGACCTCAACAACACAATAGACATCCATATTACTCGTATTGACGATCTCTCAACCGACACAACCAACACGAAAGCATTAAGATTTGACACCCATAAAGATTGTTAGCTCTAAATCTATCTCTAGAATCCAGAAACTAACAGATAATCATCCTATATAAGGATTTGAGCAGTATATATCTATAACAACCCAAAATCCAAGCACAGAGCAAAAATCTAAGATAACAATCGACACAAATTTGTAAAGCAAATTAAATATAACGCCATGGGCGAAAAATATACATGAGTTCAAGGTAAAATCATATACAAAACCCAACCAAAGAGAAATGCACAAAGAGGAAGAGAAATGAACCAAAAATCTCCCGATTTGTCAGCGCCAATTGATGATCAATCCACCCCATATCATCCGTATGCAAGCTCCGAAGTTGTTTTCTAAGCTCTCTCTACCAAAAAATGAAGGTTTGATGAGTTGAGAACAAATACCCCAATACATAACCTAAAAAATGTGTATTTTGCCCCTTTTAACACAATTCTGTCCAGGGGTCCACGTTAAGCGGCACAATCCCGCTAAGCGCGCTCTACTGTCATGAGAAAAAAATCAACTTTTTATTTTCACCATAACTTGAGAATCGTAACTCCGATTTACGCATGGTTCGAAGTGTTGGAAATCTTATTCAATGCTCTTTCTAAAAATGACAAAATATCAACCAAATTGATGATTTTATATTCTTTTATTTTGAGCCTTGTCCATTGATGAGTTGCTCGAAATCGCGTGTTTGAAGTCGTGTCTTCGACACTTTATTGCTCATGCTATAAATACGCATCAATACCTATAAAATGAATGGAAAACTATCAAATGGTACACAAATATACAAAAACTCGATTGAATATAATTTATACATGATTATACAAAAGCGGGGAATTATTCAACGATATTAACAATAAAAAATCGATAAGTGCAACAAAAAATATATACAAAAATAGCTATAATTTATACTTATCAATGAGGATGCAAAATGTTGAATGTAGTAGTTAGAGTGAGTTGGAAATTGCCAAGATAGAACTAGAGATTCTTATATTGCTTCAAAAGTTGACTGAAACTATGGTGCCCAAGGAGCTCAAATGTGGCA